GGGGGGGGGGAAGGCAGCTGTAAGACATGCTTATCTCTCAAGGTAGCCACCACCATCACCCCAATACATTGATTCAGGAAAACATTATTAGTGAGATCCTGGTGTGGAAAGAAGGCATGAAGAATGGCAACATGTTCCCACTTGAAACACCACTTAAGATGCAGTAAATCTTTGTATCAGTTAGTGCTTAAGGTATTGACATTAACATTAACTTGGCCTCTACAGCTTCCACACCCCAGGTAAAGGGCACCTATGCTCATTGCTGGTAAATAGCCAGTGATATCAGGGCACAGGAGCAACTAAAGTTGCTGATTCTGGATGGAAGCTTGGGGCTGAGAGTAAGCTCTTTGTGGCAGGAACTGCCTCTTTGTTCTATTTGTACAGCACCTAGCACAAAGGGGGTCTTAGTCCAAGACTGGGGCTTCTTGGCACTACAATAATACAAATAATAATAAGATTATGATAGTGCACTGGCTTTATTCTTCTGACCAGGGGTCATGAGGGTTTGGGCCCATTTCACGTGGGTCTTCACACTATCCAGCTGTTGCTGGCTTTTCTATGACATCACCACCCTACTTCACCAACAGGGAGATATAGGGTTTTTACTGTTCCTTAGGGCACTATCCAAAAGTTGGATTCTCAGTGTTGGGAAGGACAAAATATTAAATCATCAGATTTTACTCATCTTGATTGTATGTCTTATCTGAAAATATCATGTAATCCTGGTACTGTCCACTTACAATAAAGCTCAATGGAAGTTTACCTATGTTGTTTGAGCTGGGCTTGGTATTCTCTCTATTCCTAATTGTCTTTCCCTAATAAATCATTGTATGCAGAAAGGTCATGAACGGAATGTAAGGTGCCAGACAAAGGAAGGACCAAAAGCTTCCTCTACACTTGAAATTATCACAGCAACAAGGAAATTCCTAAAATCCATTGTGGGAGGGGGGAGGAGGGAGAGAGAAAAGAAAGATAGTTTAAATATGTGCATTGGATTGACATTACATTAGATACACTTGGCCTGATCCAGGTGTCACTCCAGTGCAAATAGGAGTAAGGACAGGTCTACTCTTAAAAAGCTGCAGCAGCACAGCTTCTTCCATCAGTGTAGTTAATCCACTTCTATGAGAGGTGGAAGCTAAGTCAATGGAAGAAGCCCTCCCGTCAACACAGCACAACAGTCTATACTAGGGCTTAGGTTGATATAACTGCATTGCTCAGGGGTGTGGATTTCACACGCTTGAGCATTATAGTTATACCGATGTATGTTTATAGTGTAGACCTGGCTTAACTCTACTCAAGTCAATGGAATTTTATTGGTGTAAACTGCTGCAAATGACAGAGTTAAAGTCCAGAATTTCTTAGTTGTGTTGTTTTGAGAGTCTACCCATTTCAGCCATTAAAAATAGCAGCAACTCTCTGGATTTCTTATTTAAAAGACCTGTTACTATAAATTAGATATAAATGCAGAAATGGACAATAAGCATACTTTAAAACACAATTATTCACTTAGGCCTCAATCCTGGAAAATCTCAGGCTATGTCTATATTAGTACTTATGTCAGAATAACTTAAGTCTCTCAGGGCTGTGAAAAAACATTCCCCTGAATGCCATAAGTTTTACTGACGGAAACACTGGTGAGGACAGCGCTATATTGGCAGGAGATGCTCTCCCACTGACGTAGCTACTGGTGCTTGTTGGGGGGTGGTTTAATTATGTCGACATGATAGCTCTCTCCTGTTGGCATAGACCAGCTACCCGGGAGTTGGTGCAGCTGCATCAGTACAGCTGTGCGGCTGTAAACTCTCTAGCGTTAACATGGCTTTACGATCATGCTTACTTCTAAGTGTATAGGTAAGCCAATTAACTTTGATGGGACTACCCACTTGGTTAAAATTAAGCATGTGCATAAGAGTTAGCAGGATTAGGGTTCAAGTAGTAATATGAAAATGGTCACATGAGAAAATCAGATAAATGATTATTTTCATAAATCCTGAATTATACATAATGAACACTTCCTCCCAAGCTTCTAAATCAGTTACAAGCATAGCCTCGTTAGCACTGAATTTTTATGGGTGTTCTAAGACCTATTTAACATTTACAGTGTAACTTTGATTGTAGACATTCATGGTTATAATTCAAAGGCAGGAGATCAATCCATACCCAATCAATCCATTCATGATTTTTGCATCATTTCAGCATAGATAGTATTTTGAGCATTGCTAACAGTGTTTAAATGACTGAGAAAGAAAACAGGATGGTCTGGCTAAATGGTGTCTGAGGTGAAGATGAGGAATAATGAATAGCCGCTGTTCACATAATTACAGCAATCGCTTAATCTTATGGCTGTGGAAGAAACTAAAAAATTGAATAGTCTAAATAATAGGCATGAGGATGAACATTGATTGTTTGTAAATACATATTCTTTGAAAGAGACCACTCATCAGAGGAACAGGCAAACTTATTTTATGAATTTTGGAATATAGTATTGGCTAAAGGCCTCCAATTAAGTTGTATTGTGCTAGGCACGGCACAGATATTTAAACAAAAAGGAAGCCAGACGAAATATAAAAAGCAAATAATTTTCACGGAGAAGATTAGAATCTTATTTTCAGAATTAACACATGGAATTGCACAGACCAAATACACGTGTAATACCATGTTCAAATTACGTTCGCCCTTACTGTGATTGTGCATGCAAACTGGGTATTTCAAATATCCAAACAGTATGTGCATATTATGTTTTCCATGGAGACTGAATGTTTGCACATGCACCTCTTTTGAAAATTGACCCCTTAAAGTCTCCATCTGACCTACCCATAGGAACTGGACTATCAGCTTCTCAGAAATTTTTGCCACCCCAAAAGGAATCGATTATCTCTTTTGGCTTGCTTATTAGAGAGGCCAAGCCTGAGCTAGCCTCTCACTGCAGAACAGGCCTGATATATATCACCAAGGAAGTCTGGAGGATGTTTGCATACCACTGATTATGCTGTGCCTGTTCTGTAACTAAAGAATTTTAGTCCTAATAACTGTCTACCAGCAGCGTTCAGCTAACAAAATGATAATTCAGTTAATGCTTCCCTTCAAATGGCAAATTTTTAAAGTTGCATTGCAGGTGAAAGTGTCACTCTTCTCCCAATACTACTACTCTTTTTTTCAACATACTGTTTGTGTCAAGATATTGCACAAAAACAATTCATGATTCCTGGAGGAGCATAGATGTGTAAGTCACATTGTGCGGGTATGTGACTATCAACTGATGTTCAGCCATGTGGTCTGTGCAGTCAATGTACTTCAAATGTTTATTCTGGTGAGACAGATTATCAATGATATTCCCTATACTTAAAATGGGAAATAAAGCTAGAATCAATAATATCTTATAGAGTTAGAATTAACTTTAAAATGCTCCCACTGTAATTTTTCCTTCCCTCCCAATGTAAGATACAAAACCTGTGTGGTTGGGGGTAATTCCTGAAACTGGGCAATTTATTCTTTGGTGCATAACTTTAAAATGACTAGATTAATTATTGTGGGTTTTTTTTAATCTTCTACGCTAAGGCCTTATGTGCAAAGCTTTTGCCTGAAATGAATTTTCATGGCTGAATTTTAAATCCCTGGAAAGAGTGCTTTATAATAACAATGCTGACACATCGTTGGCCAAACAGTGCACATGAATGATGCTGCAAGGAGACAGAGGTGGAAAAAGGGAGACCATTCAGACCCATTTAAACCCAAGCAGAGAAGGCTACTTGATTAAAAGAGAGGGTAAATGTTTTAATAGGTATTAACACGGTTTATTCTTTTTTCCACGTTGTTTATTACAGTATTGGGTTAGATTCTCTACTGTCAGGGCCGGCTCCAGGCACCAGCTTAACAAGCAGGTGCTTGGGGCGGCACCTGTGGCAATTCGGGGGCAGCAGGTCCCTCACTCCCTATAGGAGCGAAGGACCTGCCGCTGAACTGCCACCGCCGATCGCGACTTTTTTTTTTTTTTGGCTTGGGGCGGCAGAAATGCTGGAGCCGGCCCTGTCTACTGTGTTGTGACCCTTTTTTCATTGCCCCTACACCAATGGTACAGCTTAGACCAGCCTGACAACTGCATCGGGCTTGAGACTAGCCCTGAGACCAGGAAGCCGTATCTGGTTCCCGCATGCAAAGCTGGAGGAGCAAAGCTCTGGTGCAGGAGAGAAATCTCCCCCTTTGCATTTTAGAATACCCTATCTCCCAACAACCAGTGGTGACGATGTACAAATAAAAGAGCTAGAGTGTGACTATCTCTGACACATATGCATGGGGAGGTCAGGGACAAGGACTCAAACACACACATGCTTGTATGTACTAGAATTACAGACCCTGTGCTTATGGGACTGCAAGGGCTGCTACTGACTTGTTCATCCCATCTCCCCTAAGACCAGCTCTCTGGAAAGAGGGTAAGGGGTAGGTAAAATTTTGATTCTACTCCATGTGCTAGTGGTACTATTCTGCTGTTTTTAAAGTACTTTACCCCCAATATAACCTAGGAGCTCTGTGAAAGATTGGGCTTAACAGTGTGCTAATTTTTAACTCAACAGCTCAAATACTATAGTTCTTCAGTTACTATCCTGACAGGAGGGTCTGCAATTGTTTGGGTTTTTTTTAATTTTAAAGCCTTCTGAAAACAGTAGTGAAATACCTGATTTTATAGATATTATAAAACTGCTTTGGGGTTTTTTGTTTTTTTTTAAAGGTTGATCTATTTATGCTGTTACTGTTTGATCTTCCCCCGTACTTTCCTGTGGTAGAATAAAGCAGGGGATTCTCATGGTGAACAAAGGCTTGAAGGGAGTGGGCAACGGAGCAGTGCAAGAAACGGGCCCATTTTTCAAGGTGTGGGAGTGCATGGGAATTTGCTGCTTTTCTGAGCTGTACATCAACCCTCATGAATGGCAGCTTATAAGCAGTGTGTGTATTCCTCCTCCTCCACAGGATTTATCAGGCAGCTGCAAATGAAGGCAGTTCTGATAACTGAACTAATAAAATTCCAGAGAGCGAGAGTGGGCTGCTCTTGCTGGCATTTTAGGGGAGGATTGAGGGAAGAAAAGTCAGTTTTGCTACAGACAGAAACTTTATTTCTTTAGTTTGGATGAATTCCAAACAGAGCTAAAGCATTTCTGCAATCCTTCTATTTTTCAGACAAAGCAAACAGTTTGGTGATGTTTACCTAAGCACACTGAGACAGGAAAAATCCACAGGCTTACAAGAGCGCAGCCTCCTGTCCTTCAAATAGCAGTTTAAACCCTTCGATGAAGGGCAGTGTTGTTTAATTTCTGTGGATTGCAGGTTAAGTGAATCAGGCTGTTAGCAGGACACAAGTCCTCTAGGGGCTGATACTTCCAGAATGAATTTTTAAAAAATGAAAAATAAAAAAAGCAGCCAGCCAAAATTGGGGAGAAAAAAGAAAGAAACCCTGAATGATTGAATGAAAGTTTTCAGAGTGCACTAAAAATATAATATATATTTTCCTTTCCCCAAATTCCTGCCTCTCCCATCTAAACCAGGGTTGAAGGTTAGGGTACTTTAAGTGAACTTAAGTATCTTGTACAACAGCAGGGAAGTTGTCACTTAAAGATAAGTCATTATGAGACAGAACCTCAGTGGACATAAATCAGTGTAGCACCATTGACTTTGATGTAGGTATGCCAATTTACAGCAGGTGCAAATCTGGCCCGATGAGGTTAAGGTGTCACTGTATTCCCCATTTCAAGCAAGTAATAAAGGGCCAGTGCTGTAAATCATTACTCATATAAGCTGTCATCACTCAAGCCCTTATGCAAATAGTCTTTACTCAGGTGACTAGTCTCAGCGCAGTCAGTGAGATTACTCAGGCAAATAAGGGCTTCTCATGTGAAGAAGTGTTCAAGACCCTGTTATTGAATAGGTCTCTGTGTGGATCTCTCCCCATTGGCACTGAAGAGGGACTCAGCAGCTGCCCAGCACTGTCCCCACACCTTCTGGACTCTGTGCTAATCTAACTGTGGAGTGCAGGGCCCACGCAAGGAGGAGGAGTGGGTAGGACAGGTGTTTGCAGCACATCACACCACCTGTAGCCCTATGGAAAATAATCATCTCTCCCACTCCCCACCCACCCTAGGACAATAAAAAAGAAAGAATACCACTTGGCACTGTTTGTGTCTGCTTAGGGGTGTGAGAAAAGCAAATGCAGCCTCAGGTGGACATGGGACAATTTGGAATATGGATATCCCTAATTATTCAACTCCAACAGAGCTGTACTGCCAAGGAGTTGGGAGTCCATTAGGGTCCAGAGCCTGTATGGAGGCACAGGGCTTTCTTTGTAGATGGGCCCAGTGCTGACTAGGCACAGGGGAAAGGGGGGCAATTGCACTGAAGGCTCAAGCTTGTGGGTGAAATTTGCAACTGGGGTGAAATGGAAGGAAATGGGACCTCAGTGAACAATGAACCAGGCCCCAAATTTCTCTTGACAGGCCTGGTGGGCCTCTTCTTCCAGGGATCCCTGGGGAACTAAGTCTGGGAGTTGTCCCCATCGCCTTATCTCAGTTTATCCTCCCCCCACACACATACCTGCCATGGAAGTATGGTATGTCACAGATTTCCCCCCCCTTTCACCCCCCCCCAAGGGAATCAATGTGGATATTTCCTCCTTTGGAACCCCATGCTATAGGATTTTTCTGCAGGGAGGGAAGTGGGATCATCTGAGCTAATGTAAGAGGCAATGCTTGTGGAAGTACTGTGGTTTTCTATTCATTTATATCAAGCACATGTATGGAAATGCATGCACATGTTTGTCTATAAATTTCTAATATTTAGTGATGAAAGAACCTTATATAATATATACATGAGGACACTACATCAGGCAGTAACACAAATAGCATTTAAACAAGAGAAGAAGTGTGCAGAATCTAAAATCCCACAAATAAGGAGCTGTGTAACAAATTTTGCAAATAGTCCTTCATATGTTCCATTGGTAATTAAGCTTTCATCAGGAATGATGAACCCTTGTGTCATCAAACAGTCCACTTTAATGAGATCATATTAATTTGATTGTTTGAGGAAGTGTGCAACTGGAGCATAAATAATGGGGAATTTCAGCAGAAAGTATTCATTCCGCCCCCCCCTCCCCCTCCAAAAAATATTCGGGACCTTAGGTGAGGGGGAGAAATCAGTTTATTTAAAAATCAGGTCCATACCCTATTTTCTTCATGATGCTGATCAGAATTTCTGGCTCAGCAGTCTCCACAGCATCACTGCGGTTGCCATTGTGAGGCCCCTCTGGGTAGTCCGTGGTCCCTGGAGGATATGGTGTGTTGATTATTAGACTGAGCTGGAATACCTTTTATAGCCAAAAATGATATGTAGAGTAGTGGATTGTTTATTTAAAAGGTAAAGTTCTTTAACTGCACTTCTTATTCCATTATTCTCCTGATCAAGTTTTAATAATACAAATATTAGCTAAGGCTCACATCATAGCTGTATTATTGATTTTTCCCAGCATTGACATTCTCGGGTCAATATATTGAAATCTTAAGGCACTTCCTAGCTTACTGTGGGTTAAGAATGTAATTACTTTTTTATTTAGACTCTCTGGTAGATTTATACTACCTAATTACTGGTTCCCCACCCAATTTATCCAGAATAATCTGAGTTCTTAACACTTTTCTGGTGGCTAATTTAACACATAGGCTTCTTCATTATAATTGTTATCACGGCAGTGGTGTTGAGTATCTTTAATAAAAAGTGTTAAGAACTGTAGTGCACAATTATTTTTTTCTCTGAGATTCTGCCCAATAGCAACAAACTGGAGTATCTCTATCTGTGGCCAACATATTTACGCAATGACTAGGGATTGTGATTTATTAGGCCCTGATCCTGCAAACTCATTCAATAATGGGCTCTCTGGTCTTGCAGAAAGAGGTATAACACAATCTGATGGCAGGAAGTTGAAGCTAGACAAATTCAGACTGGAAGTAAGCCATAAATTTTAGATAGTGAGAGTACGTAAGCATTGGAACAATTTACCAAGGATCATGGTGGATTGTCTATCACTGGCTATTTTAACATCAATAATGGTTGTTCTTTTTTAAAAAAGATCTGCTCTAGGAATTATTTTGGGGAATTTCTATGGCTGGTGTTATGCAGTAGGTTGAACTAGATGGTCACAGAAGACTCTTCTGGCCTAGGAATCTATAAATATGGACAATTTTACCTATGTGAGTTGGCACAGTGGGTTCAGTAGGATTACTCACATGCCTAAAGCTCCTTAAGTTAATAAGTGTTTGCAGAATCAGGGTGTTGGTTTGGATTTACTTAGTGGAGTATACTACCTGAAGAAGAGCTCTGTGAAAGCTTGCCTCTCTCACCAATAGAAGTTGGTCCAATAAAAGACATCACCTTGTCTCTCATTCATACTAGTCAGTTGAAATGTGTTTCTTTTAGAAGTGCACCAATCCACCACTGCCTTAACCATAGCCTGCCAAGATTGTGGTTCATCCTTCAGAAGCAAGAGAACAGTATTTGTATGAGTTATGACACCTATTTAACTACTGGGTATTTTCACTAGAACAGTGCTTTTCTAGCAATGAGACAACTCACACATTGCATCATGGGTATTCCATTACCCCCAAATGCCCAACTTAAATTTTGATGCATTATATTATCTTCCTTCTTTGCATCATGAATTTACAACTACTGAAATCAGTTCTTATAGGAGTAATAATGCAGTCTGCTAATAGGCATAGTGCAACCATTTTTAAGAGACCCTTGAAGGAACAGTGCTTATTTCTTGAGGTGAATATAAAAGCACTGTATCTTTCCCTGACCATCCCTTGTTTATCTACTTGTTCAAATGCCCATTCATGTAATTACAATCTTTCTAACTGTATTCTTTCTGTGGTTATGTAATGCACTGTTAAACAGCTGCCACATTCTACTTCAGGGGTAGCTGCATTTCAGTGGTGGGCCAAATGGTCCTTGTATGTTAAATCTGAACTCAATTATTTATAGCTGAGTCTTCCACTGAAGACAAAGGTAATTTTGTCTGAGGGTAGTACTGCAAGATAAAGTACAGTATGTTGTTTGTTTGCCAAGCATTTAAGCAAAGGTGTTCAATAGGGGGAGCAGTGTGTTCCAGTACATAGGTCACCGGAGTAGGAATAAAGAGACCCAGGTACTATTCATAGGTCTTCCACTGACTTTCTGTGTCACTTTGTGCCTCAGTTTCTCAATCTGTACAATGATACTTGCCTTCCTTTGCAAAGTGCCTTGAGATGTGTGGATGAATTTTATAGCTAAGTATAATTGAAAAATTCAAGTTTAATTAATAACTAAGAATAAATATTTTAGTTTGGCTACAATATTTTCCCATACCATGTAATGTGGGATCTTCCAGTATGCTCCAGGGGGAAAAAAACATGCAATATATT